CTCCTGTGCCACGCTTTTAATTATCCAATATTTATAGTGTGTTATGAAAGCTGGTAAAGTAATTTATTCATTTGTTTTCTCCTTAGAAAAAATAGAAAAGACCTGGGCTCTTCTCACAAGTTTCTTCTCCAGATATATTTTAGAATGGATTTTTAAAATTCCATTAAAATTACATTGGGAATTTTTTTTTTTTTAATTAGGAGTGCATTTAATTTAAATATGTTTCTGTAAATGCAGGATATTTCCTGGAAGATATATTTTACAATCTATTCTGTTGGGAGAAATTCGTTAATTACCAGAGATTTGCTTATTGGTTCAGAATTGGGGCACAAATTAGGAGCAATGAGGGAATGTTTTCCGGGTTTCTTCATCATTTCCATGACTCTGTTTAAGAATGGCAATAAAAAAAGAGAGCCTGGAAGAAAAATAATGGGAAAGAGCCCAGCAACTTTGTGCAACAGGAGAAAGAAGAAAAATTAGAAACACTTAGTCAAAGAAACATCTTGTCCCAGCCTCCCCTCTGACCTGCATATTGAAATGTAGGCCCCAGCAGGAGGGTGGAGTCCCGCCAACCTCTTCGCACCTGGGGGACCTGGGGGCAGAGACAGAATGTCCGATGTGTACGTACCCTTTAGGAGGACCATCAATAATTTCCCTGTGCTACTCACGCACACTGGGTCTCCTCGCTCCCTGCTTTCTACCCATGTTGTTGTACTGATTGGTCACATCCCTACCGTCTGCAGAGGAGTCCGTGGGCCCAGATGACAGAAGCAGGGCCTTGACTTTTAGGCAAAACCTGTTGACCTGTTGCGGTAAAGTCGATTCTGACTCTGATGACCCCACGTGTTACAGAGTAGGACTGAGCTCCATAGGTTTTTTTTTGTTGTTGTTGTTGTTTTTTAATTGTACTTCAGGTGAAGGCTTACAGAACAGATAGTTTCTCACTCAACAGTAGTACACATATTGTTTTATGACATTGGTTAACAACCCCACGACATGTCAACCCTTTCTCTTCTCGACCTTTTTTTTTTTTGTGAAAATATGCGTAGCCAAAGATACACCATTTCAAAAATTTCTACATGCACAGTTCAGAGACATCAACTACGCTCTTCCAATTGTGCTGCTATTCTCATTTTAGATGAAGGTTTACAGAACAAAATTGTTTCTCATTAAACAGTTAGTACACATGTTGCCCTAT